TCCAAAGAAAGAGGTGGAGGGGGAAGGAAGGAATAAATATGGCGTAGGAGAGCAAGAGAGAAGCAGTGAGACAAAGAGATGATGCATAAAGAGCACATGTAGGTGAGAGCGTGCACACAATCACACACATGGAATCCAGAGAAAAACACAACTTAACGATATGATCAAAGAGATACTGTGAATGAAGGGAGATCACATTGTCGGTCGTTTCCATGGTCCTGGGTAGCAGATGGCATCATGCCTGCCTAATGGAGCAAAGCATGATGAACAGTTGAGGACCACACAATACTATCACTACCCAACCACATGGTGAATCACCTCCATGATTCTGTCCACAGAGCGCTCCCTCTCAAGGGCCAACTCATGCTGAGTCACACTCGTTCGGATAATATGGGAAACACATGGAAGACACAACAACACATGATGAAATATGCAGTCTTTACATTAATGCATTTGCCTCTTTAAAGCTGCAATAATCAATATTTTTTTATATGAACAACGAATCAAATGACTGTGTGTTAAGTGAAAACAGTCACTCATAATGACCAACTAACCATCGCTCTTTGGTCTTTCAAAATTGTTTAATGGAAATAAGCAGTGTTGACAACTTAGCGCCTTTGTTGCTAGATTTACTGACTTATCAAACCCCGTTAGCGACTTGTTTTCCAAAAAGCACCCAGTGGCAAATTGTCGCACAAGTGTGAGGTGGGGTTTTGCCTCCGTAAGCATGCCTCCCTATGCTGACGGTACAGCAGCTGACATAAATGAGCTTCTACCTGTCTCTCTGAGTGATCATTTTACAATTAAATATAGCTGAAATCAAAGCACGGCCGTTGCCTTTAACTTATATTTATGGTGATTTTGACAGACAGTGTCATGGTTATAAAAGCAGTGCAGAGCAGCAGCTTGGAAATGGCTTGGACGTGACTGCCGGTTAACATTAACAACGTCTTAACGGGCTGCATTTCAGTCACTATCTCACACTCGTTCCATTGTCTGACAACAGAAACAGAAAAAACACATAAATAAGACCAGCTTTATTAGGAATTCGACTTCATTAAAGCACTGCATGTGTGAGCACAGAGAGTAGGAGACAAGCAGATAAAACTGAGAAAGAGCTGAAACCGGCTGACACTAGGCAGAATGCAAATACAACACAGTCTAGCCATATTCTAGGTTTTGACCTAGCCTTGTTGACTGCTTGAATCGTCTTAGTGCTGCGCAAATGGAGCATGGAGGTTAGCTTTCGATGAAAACAGTTAACAGTTAAGCAAATGTGAACCCTTGAGAAAAAAGATGAATCACTGGCTCTGGTCAAGCTTTCAGTAAATATTGATGAATCTGTTTTTATGTTAGATCCAAGCGGAGGTAGACAGTTGTGCCAGCACCAGCATTTTTACAGTCTAGATTACATAGCTAATGAAAACATTTTGCTAAGACGCTAAATTTAACATTATACAATACTACTGGCTAACCTGGCTGAGAGGACAAAAGCTGTATATTAGATTTTATTCTCAATGTGGAGTGTGTCATATTTGCCTACACTGGAGGATGAGTGAGGAGGCTCAGGCCAGGATTTGTTTAGCCCTTGTGTGGGCATTGACTGCATCAACATATAACATCATCTATAGCACTTGTTCAAACGACATGATCTTCATCCTACTACTTTGTATCAACTAAACCACCAGTGGAGGAGTCAAATATAAACAATTAGGCAAAATACATATACTGTGTATTAAAGTTAATACAATTCTGTATTCATAGATCAATAATTAATTACCAAGCTAAATACTGATGCAATTACAGGCTTTGGGAAAAAGCTGCAATGACAGAAATTAAACATGGTGGATGCAGGAACATTTCCCTGACAACAACAATTCGGGCGAAGTAACAATGGTAAGAACTTCACCTTACTTTGATGCTGCAGATGCGTTAGCAGTGTTCTATATACAAAGCTATATAAACCTGGCAGGCCTGCATGCAGTACTGGCCCAACTGCTCATTTATGTTTCATGCTTTGTGTTGGACCGGCTACCGTGGCTGTCAAGAGCTGCAAATCAACAAATCCTCCGATGTTGCAAAAGCACAATCATAAATACACAAATGGCATGAAATACAACACCAGAAGGAGGAGTATTTCCATCACAGGGCATACGCTGTGCTTTTAAATATTCCTTCTTGCTGCACACCAGGTGGCTTTTAATGTATTTGTTCAGCTATAATACTTTGATGATACAAAGGAGGAGCGTGAGGCAGTTCTTATATTTATTTTAAAAGGCCCCCCTCCTTTCTGTTGTGTATCACTTTGGCACTTTGTGGGCTAACTTGTAAACTGGGAACAACAGACTTAAAGCAAACAATCAAATCTGCTAATTTTCCTAAAAGGAAACACAGACTGGGTGCTAACGACAATCACATCCACTTTTAGAGTGAAGCCAAAGCTCAGGATATTTGAACTATTTATTCTTGGAGCCTTAGGTAAAAGCAAAGGCATGGCTGGGTCAGCGCTAAAAAATGTATGTCTTTATATACAGTATGTGTCTGCAAGTGTAAGAGGGAGAAAAAGACCAAGTGTCTTGGCAGCTTGAGGATGGATGAGGGGATGCATTAGCCAATGTGGTAATGACTGGAGGAATGGGAGCCTGAGCCACTCAGTTGAAACATAAAACAATGCGGACAAGGTGACTTTCTCTAAGCCGTCACCCAAATGCGCTTATGTGCGTGTGTGTGTGTGTGCACGTGCACAGCCTCAAAACAGGATGAGTGTATTGTGGTTTGATGGAAGCTAGCTTGGCTAAATGAATAGGATGTTGGAAGGTGCTAGACTGAGGTTGGCAACATATCACTAGACTTTACTGGCTCTTATCAAAATTGAGTGGGTTGTGATGGAAGTGAAAAAAAAAAACAGGATGAGAGGGTGGAGTACAGCCGGCCTGAGATGAAGTGGCATATGACTGTCCCTATAGCAAACTTAAAAGTATGACGAAGGCTTTTGAAATGCCACAAAAATAAAATATGAACTTCTGTAGCCATGTTTACAACACCCGGGTTAAAGTAAACTCTCTGAGTATACAATATTGTTTTGAGTGTGGAATAAAAAGATAAGGTTTACACATATACATACATCATTCAGCACTGACTTCAGTTCTGTGGTAAGGTCAATACATAACTAGTCCTGTGCAATCACTCTTTACAGTGCACATAGCTACGCAGGGAGCTGTGTGTGACAGTCATCACGTCTTGATTTTTTTCTGTGGCTTTCAAACTTTTCATCACATTTTAATGAAGTCATGTTTTGTGTTTTGTCAACTGCGGTTTTGAAGGTCAAGAATGGACTGTAAGGCTCGAGTTTACTTCTGTTGGTTACTGATTACTGGTTACTGTGATCCTGAGTTTACACTAATCTGATGTGTCAAATGAATATGTGAACCAAGATGTTCTCTTTGCATGGCTGAGGAAAACAGAAGATGTATTTTGCTTCTCGAGCTTGTGGCAGAAGTCACAGCGCACTTGTCAAAGTAGCATCTAAACTTTGTTGAATGTTGGTGACAAGGAGTTGTTTTAAATTGAGCTAAAGTCAGCTCTATGCTGGAGTGTCTGTGCAAGCACTGATAAATGAAACAGAAGGCGCCTCATTGGTTGATATCTGATCCAAGCGAGAAACTTCCACCGGTTTCTCAACAGGGTAAAAACACAGAGGATCAATTAATGGTCACGGTGTCAAATGTTGTCATTTTATATGATCCGTCTGTTGAGCATGAGGAACAGCTGGAACAAGGAGCTACATGGACAGCAGTGGCAAGACTTGAGTTTAAGATGCAGGCCTAAATTAAATCCTTACGCCTTCCTGCTGTAACTGTTGCAACTGCACATCACTGCCGCTGTTAACTGCATTTTCAGCTTGCTAAGCTGCAGCAGCCACTGCCAGGGTTGTTTGCCTGTGTCTGCTGGCCGGGGAGGCCGGGACTGTTTATCCTGTCCCAGTATGAGATGACTTTCTGTTAGAGCAGAAGAGCTGTTGTATCTGTATCTGCCACCACAGCAAACTATGGAAGCTATCACCTTGGAAGCAAGCAATCATCTGAGGTACTTTAGACCTGTAATTTCACACTTTTATCACAGTCTACGATCACGACTTTTAATGTTCCCATGTTAATGTTTGTTAATGTAAACAAGGTACACAAGACCACATATATGATCAGATAAATGCGCTGATGATGAGAATATATAGTATAGTTTCATGTTAAAGCTGTGCTTCATACTGTAGTCTCTGCACAGTGAAAAGGAAAAACATAATGCTCTTTCTGAGACTGCTGCTAAACTGAAGAAATCGATGCAGACTGGTTTTTTTTTGTTTGTTTTTTTACAGCTCTGAAGAGTCGCCAGTTCTCCCTTTATTATCATTACTTGCTACAGAATAAGTAATGGTGAGCAAAATGTAAATAACAGTGCACTTCATATATTTTGCTGGCTCTCTTCACAAAGTCAAAGAGCCAGCAAATGCATTACAAATGTCCCGAAACAACAACGCTTTTTTTTTTTTTTCCGCATTTCATCATAAGCAAATATTTCTTTCAGACTGCCGCCCATTGGGAGGTGTTTTAGTGGCACTCTCAAGCTGATGCTGCAAATTACATGTGACAGAAGCAATTCTGGGATATTTTCTCACACACAAACTGCAGTAAGTGTTATGAATTAGATTAAGCTAGGGAATATTGAAAGTCTGATATTTCCTCTGCCAGCTCAGCAGCTTTAATTGATAATGCAATTTTATTTTCCTCCCCTTTCACTTCCTTCCAGGGAAAAGTATGCTGATTATTATTTTAGTCCATATCTTAAAACAGCTGCTCTGGCTAAGTAAACATTAAGAAAGCAGTTGCATGTATGACAAGAACACTAAATAATAAAATTTGATGCAAATGCAGATATAATATTGGCAATGAACAACCCACACAGTCGTGCACCTGTTCTCTGTCTGTATTCATTTGAGTCCCTCCTACCTCTCTGAGGCAGCCCATGAAGTTGTTGCTAACTGGGGATCCTGGTAGGTCCGCAGTGCTGGGGCTCCCACCCACGTAGAAGAAATCGTCGGAGCCCAGCATGGTGTAGTCTTCCTGGGTGTAGCCAGTGGTGGTGAGGATCCCGTCGACAGAGATAGTCACCTGTTGGGGGGTAACACATAGCCAAAGCCAAGCCATTACACTCTGGTATTTGATCCATGCTTTGTATAAAGCACACCTCTTTCCTTGGTCTGCATTCGAAATGAGATATTTGAACTTTTCTTTAGGTTCCACACTGTAGGTTCATTTCTCATTTAACCTTTTTTTACAGAATCGTTTTGTACCTTGAAGCGATTGTTTTGGACCAGACAGTGTTTGGATTTTGTTAATGGAATTTTTGCCATAGGATTCACAGGACAGGTAAAGAAAATATGGCACAGGCATATTTTCTTTATCTTTGATGGGAGTAAGAGAATGGATCCTAGGTTTGGTTCTGAAACTTCAGGTTGGGGAAGGGTTAGTACAATGTTCAAACCAAGGACAAATTGATTGCACTTGTCTTAGGTTTCGGGATTTATCTGGTAACTGCAGACACACACATATACAGTACACACGTATGTGAACGCACACAAGCACACAGACGTGCGCACGCACGCCGACAAGCGCACACACATTCGTTCTCGCACCATCAGTCTCACATTCTCACTTCTCTTTCACACATCTACATCTATATATCCACACACATGCAAAACAAAGGGAGGCTTTTCACACCACATCAATGTGCAAACCAAGGTCATCACTGTTAGAAGGCAAATTAAACACACTTAATTGGACATGTAAGGGAGTAAGTGGATCAATGGTGCCATACAAAGCTGGAGCAGGCCACACTGGGTGCAGAGGCTCATGCACAATCAAGACCAAAGCCCATAATTCAAACAAACTCTCAGAATAGCTGATGCTGATCTCTGATCAGGTTTAGCTCAGGTGTCATGGTTATAATTTCAATGTCACTGGACCAGACCAATAATCCCAGATCAGTGAGCTTATTCTTAGAAATGTTATGTATATGGGCCCAGGTGTGAGGGTGATCCAGGTTAGCCAAAACACACAAACACCACTTTCACCAGCATGCTACGAAAACGCACACAGGGAGGGCAGAGTGAGTGATACAGTGAGAGGTGGAAGATGAGTGAATGGATTAGAGTGTTAGTGGTTATTTTGGGTGATAGGTTTGAGGTTAGATGAGAGGTCAATGAGATGTGGGCATGCCATGCGCCATAGTGAGTTGGAAACAACTGTCAGAGCTCCCGCAATGAAAGTTAAGGGTTGCCATTTATTGGTAGTTTCTCTTTTAGGGCTCGGTGTCGAGGTCACCATCTTTGGGATTGTGGTAAGCTTCTGCCAGTTCTGGACGACAGTCCTCACAAAAAATGGGGACTTTTTGTGTGAAAAAAAAGAAAAGAAAAAGTAAGTTGCCCTGACAAAAGGCAAAGAAGTCAATTTTTTTTTTTTTTTGTTGGAAATCTGCACTAATGTGGAAGAAACAAAGATAAAAAAAGTAAAAGCCAAAGTGAAAAAAAACAGGATGGGGGATTGTGGGGTAAAGAAGGAGGTTGTTGGCAGGTCAGGGAGGAAATTGAGAAGAAGCGAAGAAAGAATTGCCTGGTAATACAAACCCATCTCCTCATTTTTTGATAAGAGTGTCTAGGATGAAACTCAAAGAGAACGAATAAAAGAAGAGAGGGGGAGGGGACACACGGCAAACCCAAAAAAAAGACAATAAGAATGATATCTACCAGACAATGTAGTTTGTTTACCATAGCGTGTCCAATGCCTGATTGCTTTCCAGAAAAAGGGGAAGAAAGGAAATCAAAAGAATAGTGAACAAAAAAGGTTGTTAATAAGGATGGACAGAAAACAAAAACCAAAAGCAACGATGAAGAATTAGGATGTTAGTTAGTACATTAGTTGGTTAGATATTGGTTAGTAGTAAAAAATGACTCTTTATCATGGATGAGTTAGTGTTGTGGCGAATAAACACTACATGTTTTGTCAGAGATTCAATGCAGTAAAAATGGGCCTTCTTGCCATCCTAGCCAAATTTTCTACATCAGAGTCCTGCAAGAAAAACAAAGAAAGACAAGTACTGTAAGGTGTGGGACTTTCAGATAAAAATTTGTGTAGGATGGCTTCAATCCCAACAAAACCTGTAGTGTTTTTTTCACCCTCAGTCTAACAAAGTGTGTCTTTCAAAGAGGAAAGAAAATGATAGTGAAAGAAACACAGATCTGTAGGAAGAAAGAAAGGAGAAAGCAAGGCAAGCTCTTGGCTCTTAGCTTCTAACCCCCTAAACTGTGTGTTATCCTGTTGGGATTTTCAGCTAGAACTATTTACTAACCTGTGGGGCAAAAGCTTACTGTCAAGGAGGGTCAGGAAATCGGCACTTACTTGTTGTGCTGCTCTGAAAGCAACACTAAGTGCTGTCTCACCTTGCAGACAAACTAAAGGTCGACCAAGACAACGAACAACTCCACATTTTGCAGCTAGCACTGCCTCCACACAGCACTAGGTTCATTATTTTGTGAGTCTCTTTTCTACAGCCTCAACACTAATACAGTCTAGCTCCACCAAACAGCAATACAAGCTCATTTTAAATTACATTAAGGAAAATGGCAAACGGTATCCGTCAAATAACAAATTCTGCTTATGCACAACCAATGCACATCTTTGATGGAAATGTATCTCTGTCTTTAAAAAAGCACGATGATCATCTGAGCTATAAATACTGCATTAATGGATGGCTCAAAGGCAAACACACTCTGTGCCTGGCTTTAAAGTGAAAGTCTACATTCTGCATAAAGCATAAAAACAGTCTGTTAAAGCAAGGTGATAGCAACAACGCCTGACAGAAGTGTCAACTTAGGTGAAAGTGAAGCAAAGAAGAATAATCAGACAACTTTAATTTGAGGACAAGTCGAGTGTGCTGATAAACAGGAGAGAAGAAAACACCCAGCATAACGGCGCCTTTACTGGGCTATCAATCACATGCTGAAGAACCGCTTTGCCCTTTTTACCTGTTCACTTAGAGGAAACAAAAATTGAACAATGAAATTAAATGAGAAATAATTCCATGTAAGTATAAAGACAACTGAGAAATTATGAAATCTAATTCAACAATGTTTCTGAACTGTGGCGATGGAATGACAACCAATCAGAACAAAGTGACAATCTTAACGCCAGCTCTCTTTCAAAAGCTCTTGGAAGCAGCTAATCTACAGCGAAAAAAAAAACAAAAAAACAAAAAAACAAACAAACAAAAAAAAACATCCACCTGTCTTCAAACTCCGTCCATCACTGCTACCCCCGATTACCTGTCTCAGGTTGCGTGTCACTTTGATGTCGTGCCAGGCGTTGTCATTGAATTTTCCATTGACTGGCTCGACGATGGCCTCAAAGGCCCCGGAGCCCAGATTGATGACGAGAGACACGGCCCCATCTTTTAGTGCCAGGTTGACATAGTCGGCGGATTTCCCCGTGTGGAGGAGGAGGCCGTTGCGTTGCCAGGTTTTGAAGGACAGCGTGATCTCATCGCTGCTGCTCTGGATGGGATTCTGCGACAGGTCGTAGCAGAAGTACTCCGAACCGCGGAAGGTGGCCACGTTCTCCTCCCTCGCTGAAATGACAGAAGAGAAAAAAACCCAAATTGTTACTTTAAGGTGTTATGGAGCTACTGAAAGAACATTTGCATCCAGCATATTTAGCAAGTGAGTAGCGCTGTACTAATGATTCACAATGTGTCCTTCAAAATATAAAGTTTTATACATCATGATGACATTTATTCTTACATTTTTAGTGTCAAATCTTTTATACATCAGACAAGCTTAGCATCCATGTTGGTGCCTGCATCAATCATGAAGCAGATCCAGTAAATATTAGAACTGCTGCGCGCTGCAGAGAAGGTTACATCAAGCAAACACACACTCTCACACACACACAATGCACTGCTCACCATAATTACAGCTATGATAATCCCATCATTCAGTTCAGATCATAAAATCCTATCTGTACGACCGTGGGTTTAGGTTTCGCATACAGCCTCTAGACAGACAGACTACTTATGATGGAACACTATTCCCCGCTAATGGTGCGCATAAATCAAACTTAGACTGATTCCCCAGTTTTATATCACTCCGCCGTTGCAAAGTGACTTCCTGAGCCCATTTTTTTAGATCAACACGGAGAGTAAGGTGAGACAGCCCGAGACAGAAAGTGAGTGCTGCGTCGAGGGAAAATGAAGACTCTACAAGAAGGGAGTGGATCAGAGGAGTTGTGTTTCCTCATGATCTGTGATGAAATAATTGACCCGTCACCTGCCTCCTCTTTAAAAGGTGGCTTGGTAAGCTTGGGTCTGGGAGAATCTGTTAGAAACAAGGTCAGACTCACTGTTAATTACATGTCAAGTTGGACATGGCACAACTACTACGCAAAGATTTATTCTCCAAGAATTTAAGGCAGCATCTTTCAGAAATTGCAACACTCAGAAAACGGCCCCCGCCAACATACCAAACCAGCAAACCGCTGTGGCGCTCGGTAACAGTAACTACATCATTACCTGCCAACAATGCCATTTTCAGTGTGTCACTTCATTTCCTCTGCATCCTGCGTTTTCTTGTGTGTGCTTACACAGAAAACATGAGAGCCATGAGTGGAAGGAGAAAAAGCACAAGCGGGAAGACCGAAGAGACAGATGAGAAAAAGGAAAGAAAGAGAGAGAGAGAGAGAGAGAGAGAGAGAGAGAGAGCGAGCGAGCACAAGGGCTGCAGGCTGTAAAGCTTCAGACTGTTGTTTTGGATCAGGCTATATGTAAACATGAGGGAGCAGTGTTGTGGAGCTGGCAGAAAGCTGCAGTGGGGGGGGGGGGGGGGGGGGGGGGGGGGGGGGGGGGGGGGGGGGATGAGAATAGTGAGAGAGAAACAAAAGGAAAGTGGAGTGAGGCTGCGGGATGATGGGGTGCTGATTCCGGTCATGGAGAAATTCTCCCCTCGGCATCAAACTCATGTCTTTGCGCAACACACAGAGACAAGAGGAAATAGTATGCGAGGCAACAAAGGCCCCGTGAAAGCCCTCATCCATGTGCCAGAGGAATAAATAGAAACCCATTATTACCACTGAGACAGCGCAACACAGAGAGGCAGCAGAATATACATTCGAGAATCAAAAATCCTCTCCATCTCCTCTGATTTCATGCATCTGATCTAAGAAATTACACCGGCATTCATTGTGTGGAGAAGCCTGTCGATTGTATATCCATAAAAAATTGTTCTTGAACAATTGTCTCAGACATCAAACACAAAATGATAGTTCTGTAAGTACTGAAGAAAAACAATAAGTGGCATGGCAGCTCCATCAATTTTGCCAGTGTCATTTTTTCCAAAGAAATACTCTTTCACATGATTAATAAAATATTGATTTATATATCCACAGTGTGGTTACATCAGCGCCTATAATGAAATGGGTTTCTAGCTCCTTGCTCCAGTTAGCTTTATTGTACATCTGGACTAGTAGGGGCCCAAACCCTCGGGGGTCCTCAAGCATGAGAGAAACCTTGAAGCAGTTGGCACTGACCCATGTTCTGTAGAAACTGTAGATGCTATAAAGGCACAGGCGGGCCCTCTGTAACGTCTCTGCCCGGAGGCACCTTGCATATGCCTGATGGCAAATGACAGGCAAATGTGGGTAGAAGGCTGACTGTCTTTGTAAGACTAATTCTTGCTCATAAAAGTAATTGCTTTCATTTTTTTTCCGAAGGGAATAATCCAAAACAGAGTTGTGATTTAAAAGGCTAAAAACACCAGAAAGGAAGCAGCCGTCGTCTCTACAGTATATGTCAGCTTTGTTTGTGGGCATTCAGCATGGTAATTGTTCAGATCCACTCCTGACAGCTCATCTTGTCTGCTCTTACCTGTCCCAAGGTGGTAAGGTTATTGTCATGGCAACTCCCCTCATCTAACCAGCATACTCTAATTAGTTTGTCTATCTGAGGATTCCTGCTCACATCATTATTAAAAGGTGCAAAGAGCAAACATAGCCATTAGTGGCTGTTTACTGAGTGCTGGATGATGCATGAAATAATGTATGTTGCAGTTAAAGAGCAGTGACCTGTTGACCAGTGTAATAGGTTTTGTCACTAGTTTCTCTCTTAGCCACACTAAAGCTAGCTCCACAGCTCTAGTCGTAGCAATGTCAGTCAGTCCACCACTTTGCTCCTGACTCTAATATCCCAGCAACTACTGATGGGATTGCTATTAAAATTTTGTGCAGACATTCATGGTTCCCAGAGGATGAATCAAACTGACTTTCGTCATTTTGTACTAATAGGCGTTGCATCTTTTATCGATAAATACCATTTGGTCTATTTGAAGATCAATAAATCCTTTTAAAACTGGATCTTGATTGGAAAATAAATAGTCCCCAATGTCCCTCTTTCCTGTTTAACTTGTATTGTCCAATATTATGTCTAATAATTTATCATATGTTTTACTTATAAAATGTTACCCATCTATGGTATGTTTGACTATCCCTATATGTATTAATTACAATGATGTAATTACAAAGTTGCTGTGGAGCTGAAAAGACTATCAATAAAACATTGTTCCTATGAATAATAGAGAGAGCAAATTGATATAATGCAATATTTGTGCACCTCAGCAATATTAAACCCGTGGTAAGTGTATACGGATCCATAAAAACCAGGGGAAATGTATTGCCTGTTGAGACATGTCCTGCACAGATCTGTGGCTTTCATATCGATCATATCGCAGGGTCATTTTCCCTTATTTTCGCAATAGTCATCAATATTCCATTTGCGTGCTGCCTGGCCCATGCACAGGGGGCTAGGGTTCGATTTCAAAATCCACTGGAAGCAATTAGCTCCTTCATTACCATCTCCCGTTCTCTTCCGTTCTCCCCCTCCCTCGCCACACACACCCATGCTGCCTGAGCTCGCTCTCCAGTCTGACCCCACGGGGCCTTCGAGCAGGGAGCGCTGTCACCTTACAGAGCTCCGGTCCACAACCTTCAACCTCCTTAAGATCACGGCAGGATGATAAACTGTCCCTAATCACTATGCGAGGCAAAAGACTTAAAAGACATAAGGGGGAATCAGATGAGTTTAATGATAGGATTAAAAACAGGAGGCATTGTGATTATCGAGGCAAAATACTGACTTTAGCTGGAGATGCTACAGCTGTAAGGCTTCCAAACCCATAAGCCTCAGTGCACACCGAGGCTAGCTGGGCGCTAGTGCTAGTCCCAGGGAGACTTTTCTCTGGTGAAGTGAACTCAATCTGTGCTGACATCCAACACATCAAATGCATGTTTGCACTACATTTGCAGATAAACAAGCCCGAAGTTCCAGACCTAAACATAGAAAGCTAAGTTGCGCTTTTCGCCATTGATGTTTGTGTGACACCCTCGGGAACTGAAGTCATTCAAGGTTGTGGTGTCATCCCACACAATGCATTTAAATTTAACAAAATCCATGCTTCAACACACCCTCCCTCTCTTACTTTCTGTCTTTGCTATTCTCTCTTTCCCCTTTTCCCAAAGTGAGAAATCAGCATCATTTCGCTAATAACAGTTAAATCAGCGTGGTTAGCCTGACACAGCCAAACACAAACAATGTGCTCCACTGCTTCCTGACATGAGGCTAATGCTAACCATGCTACTGCGTGGCTTAAAGCTCAGTGGCGAGCCATCACGTGTCAAATGAATCTGGAGCATCACGGGTGATGTCTCTCTTCAAAGGCAGGCCGCACTGTCAGACAGGCTTTTGCTGAAGGGAGATTTGGTGGAATGTGTTGCATGGTAATTTAACTGGCCAATTATGACCAATGTACTGCAGCAACAATCACATTCAACCCAGGATACAAAAGAGAAAGTTGTGTACGTAGGGTTTCTCAGGGATTTATTTTCCTGTCAAAAAATATATATAACCCACGCTGAATTTGTCCTCTTCATGACAACTTTCAAGATGTCGCATGACATATCTAAGAGGTTGAAGCGAATTGTCACCCCTGACACTTTCTTTTCTTATCTTGTGTTTCACGTAACCTTGTGAAGCCACGGCGGACGACCTGTCTGAGACTGCCTTAGATGTCTGCACACACAGACTGAGGAGGGAAGAGCGACAAAGACGGAGACAAAGAGAGAGATGAACGTAAACAGAAGTGACACCGAGGAAGCAAAAGAGTCTAGAACAAAAGGAAGCCAGAGATGGAAGCAGAGACCGCGAGGGAGAAAGAGAAAGAAAAGCAGAGAGAGTTTGGGAGAAAGAAGAGAGGCGGCGAGAGACGGAGCAGGAGAGCGAGAGTGGCAGATGGGGGGAAAGAGAGACAGAGGCACTTCCAATGGCTCTCCAGAGAAACAAAGTGACACTGTGTGTTAAGACTAGCGGTGAAGAGCGGTCCCTGTGGCATTAGTATAGCTTATTACTACACCCGATAACACAGCACACCCACCAAATCCCGCTCTTGGTTCCTCGCCCTTCACCTCCCTCAAAGTATCACTGCAAATCCAACACTTTTCTCATAGTATTCTTACGCTCAGAAGATCATTTCTGCAACAGTAGAATCCCCAGTGAAAGAAATTAGTGTCTAAGAATTGTGATTTCAA